AAAAAAAAATACTTCAAGGACTAACTTGAAATATTATAAACCTTAAGTGGCCATTCACGAAATTAACCTCTTATTCATTCCTGCTCAAAAAATAATGTTTGTTTATTTTTCAGAAAACGTTGTAATAATATTTTATAACATATTAAAGTGTTAAAATTCGGTCATTATATTTTTCTTCACATATTATTGACATACAGTGATCAACCTGTCTGCTTTGTTGACTTACATTAAGAGGAAAATCCTACAAATTATAAAAGAGGGAGTACAGAAATATGGGTTAGTCTTTTGCTGATGAATTCTAATCGTCTTTTGCTTCGAGTTCTCCATTGACCTAGTTCAGTTAGTCTAATTGGACTTTTTCTATCTCCTCATTAGCTGTATTTCAAATGTTTAGATGATAACTAAAATTCAACGCTGACCACATTAGTAGCGACTAGCAAGGGAGTACAATTATTCACCTGAGAATATGTTCAAAAGGCACCCCAGCAAAGCGAAAGTACTATGTGTTGAATCATATAATGTCAAGACGTATTTTGCAGTAAGGCAACTCATGTCTGGTCAAGTGAAATTACTAGAGATGAAATGAATACGTTCACTTGAATTACAAAATGAAATTAGGGAAGGCAATTAAATAGTACCACCTCACTGGTATCTGAAATGCTAATATTATTTTTGAATAATGCATATCAATTAAATACTTGAACAGTTACATGAATATGCTCTACTATTTCATCTTCTGGCATTAGCATAATATCTCCATTTCTTACAATTACTTATTTATTTGTTTTTAAATACAATTTAAATTGAAACAGAAAATAAGAGCCATGGCATAAATCATATTCTGCATCCTCACCCAATTCCCACTCTTTTCCCCTAATCCCAGCAACATTTGGGGCAGAAGCAAGACATTTCAACATTTTTAATGCCAACTCATTCCTATTCTAGTAACATGTAAAATATGTGTAACATCCAACCCCAAACTTAAATATCCTCCTCCCAAAAACTAGAAAACAACATTATCCGACACCAAAATGTAGAATTATACATTTTCAACCATTTTTCACCTCAAAAAATTGTGTATTGACTGTTAACGGTATTGTACACTCCCTCACCCTCTCCCTCTCCCCCTCAATTTCACAACAAAAAGAGAAGAACGAAAAATGAGATCTTCCTCAAGTTTGATCATAAAATAAAGTGTAGGCTTCACAGCGAAGAACTTCTTCCAAGGAAACCACGTGCACATAAGCATCACTGGCATGATACCACACGCAATCTCCATTCTCACCTTTGGCACCTCCTCTTACATACGCAACGTAGTGGCCACCTCTCATGGTCTCCAAATGCTCCACCAATCCAATCAGACGATACTCGTACTCGCCCCTCTCAGTGCACCTGTAAATTAAATGAGTAGAATATCAGATGGGTTTTCAAAGATTCGGTGTTAACCTTTTCTGCAAAGTTAGTTTATACACACAAAGATCAAGATACACTTCGAGCAGAACAACGGAGGCGTTATCAACACGAGGCAAGTACTTCTTCCATTCCCTGATCAGATTCGCACACTAATTGAACATTACAAGTGTTAAGTTGTTTGTAAATATCCTCAAGTCAACAGAGAGAAGAACTTCAAAACTCTCAAAAGTATTTGTAAAACCTTTATTCTTCTCAGCACGACAGTACTAACATTAAGTTTTTGACAGTAATCGAAGCAGTATCATTATATGCCCAAGGAGGTTTTCCATGCAAAAGCAATATACCTAATCAACACCATAAAATACAAATATAAGGAATCCATCAAGGCAGAAATGATACAGCAATGTAAAGTAAGAAAACTTTGTAAAAGATGCTCCGCTTTGGAGTAGGAAGCAATGAGATCATAAAAGTGTGTTTTCTTTTCAATACACCATGTCAAATCATCATGGAATAAAGAAGTAAACTTTCAACGGGATTCCGAATAGCAGGTAACCCATGAACAAGGCAAGTACAAGAAGAAATGGCTGGTTTTCCCATCAACTCATTGACAAAGCAAGGTTTCTGGAACTAGAGAAGTCAAACTGAAAATATGAAAAAAAATATGCATTCTCAAGGGTCCCGGATTCAACCTTTGACCATACAAAGGAGGCCAATATTAACATGTCAGAGATGCTAAAAATTCCTGTCAATGTATATTGAATATAAATTTTCCACTAAAATTGATGTTGTCAAATAATACAAGTTGTTTACGTACAAAAGATGAAGTCCAATTAAATGGTCGGAGCCCAGTTAGGGAGTTCAATATATAGGCCTAAATGAGACCATTGTAGAATATAGCGGAGGCCCATAAACAAAGTACCATCATCGCCCAAGCCTGCAGGACATCTTGGATCTGAGCGAATGAGGCGCCTTACTGTCGCCCAGATCGATGATCCCATTCTCGCCCAAGCCTTTGAGTCGCTCAAGTTTGAGTGAATACGGTATCTTGTGATTATTTAAAACGATAGTTATTAAAGCGATTATTGAACAACCTTATCACACCCCACAATCCAAGAATCTCGGTTACAATAAAGCGGTTATTGAACAACCTTATCACACCCCACGATCCAAGAATCTCGGGTCTAAGCGGTTAAACAACAAGAGTAACAACAACAGTTGCGAATGGCAGTCCTTTGACAAGTCAGTTATCACGAAAAAAGTGGGTAGTTATAGAGCGCTAAGCAGTTTCCAAGCAGTTCTACAGAGAAAACCATCAAAGGAGTATAAAAAAGAAAAGAAGACATAGAAGGAAGGACCCAAATCAATCACTCCCAACAGAGAATATGTAATTTCATTTCATTTATTTTCTAAGTGCAAACTTTCAATTTACTTCGTGTGCTTGTTCCCCTTGGAGGCATTTTGTTTCTTCATAATTGTAATCTTCATAAATGAAGCACCCATTTTTTGGACTTTGTCTCAAGAGGTTTGTTCCTTACACAATCATATGAACATTTCTTTTAATTGTTAGCGATAACCCACGTGAAACAATTTGGCACACTCGGTGGGACAATTGGTATTTGAAGATACGAAAAGTGAAGCATTATGCCTCATAAGAATTTTGATAAAGAACCGCAAGCCAAGGAGTAGTCCACTCTATGATCGAGCGATACGCGGAGCAGCAAAGCTCTCCACTAATAGAGGGACAGAGTCAAAGCAGACAACGTCTCAAAAAAGTGAAGCATTATGCCTCGTAAGAATTCTGATAAGGAACTAGCAAGTCAAGGAGTAGTCCAGTCTGTGATCGAGCGATATGAGGAGCAGTAAAGCTCTCCAGAACAGAGGGACATAGTCAAAGTAGTCAAAATTGCTACGAGCCAATGACAGAGTTAAGTCCTCGAACTATGCGCGCATTGCTTGGGGAACTCACACAGGATCTCGTTGAACAGGTAAATCTACGAAATGTTCACAATATGGAAAGATTTACCCAAAATGGGAAAGCACATTATGACAATATGACCAAATAACTAAACACGTTAAACGAGATCATGAATAAGTTAGTTGGCCAAATATGTCAACCAATTGTACCAATAAGGAATCACTTTCAAACCAGAACAATTGAGGGACATAATTCCCCAGGTTTAAATTCAAGTCAAGGAATAGAACCACCTTTCGATCCGTCTACTTCAAACCAAGGGGGTGGTATAGTGCCAAACTTGAATGGTGGTGATGGAACGTCAAGCCTGGGGGGTAACTTAAGTATAAGAGACAATGTCCTAAATAATGGACAGAACACCCCGCGTGTTAATGATGGAGTAAATACTCAGGCTAACGGTAAAAATGGCCTAAACAATGGCAATTTTGTCACCAACCAAAGACCAAATATTAGGCCTCAAGTAAATCAACCAATGAACTAACTTATAGGAGTTCCATATGATCCCAATGTCATGTTGAGAAATCAAATTATGGAAATAGTACAGGATCAAATGGCTTTTGGGATCCGTCCTGCTATTAGGCCGACTTACACAAAGTCATATCCTGATTGGGTAGATCAGGTATATCCGTGGCCTAGAGGGTACAAAGTGCCAGAATTTTCATTATTCACTGGTCTAGGAGAAGTGTTTACTCTAGAACATATAGGGCGATTCACACTGCAAAGTGATAAAGTAACGGACTATCACAAAATGAGGTTGTTCCCTAAGTTATTAACAGGAGTAGCTTTTTCCTGGTTCATTAATTTGTCAGCAAACTCTGTTCAAACATGGCAACAACTGGAACAATTGTTCTAAGCTCAGTTTTATAAGACTGAATTTGAAGTCACTTTGGCCGATTTGGCAAATTTACGTCAAATACCAAACGAATGGGCAGAAGGTTTCATTCAAAGGTTTAAAACAGTCAGGAGCAAATGTTTTGTACCTTTGCCCGAGAAAGAATTCATCAAAATCGCTCAAAGTTGTTTGAGCTTTGATTTGAAAAAGAAATTCTAGGGAATTTCCTGATCTTTTTCAACTTAGCGCGAATGTGATTAGGTATGAACGATTGATAAGAGAAGAAGAACAAATGAAAAACTCTAGTAAATAGATTTATTATAGAAACCCAAATTTTGACGTTCATAATATTAATGACGAATATTACGATCAAACCGAAGTTGCGTATGCTTGTCCTATAATGGCCAACCTCAGAGTGTCGGGCAAGAATGAGTCTAAAAAAGATGAAAACAAAAAAGTTAGAACGTTTTCATTTGATGTGACCAAAGATGACCTTATAGTTAACAAACTACATAAGGATAAGCAGATAAAATTGAGCGATAAGCATAAATTGCCAAACCCTGAGCAAATTAAGGGTAAAAATATTGTAAATGGCATAATACATTGTCACATATGACTAATAATTGCTTGGTCTTTCGTCATGTGTTACATGATGCTATCAAGTTAGGACAAATTACGTTCGAAGATAAGAAGAAAATGGCAGTAGATGAAAATCCTTTCCCACAGCCTCTTGGGGTGAACAAGGTGACGACTGATTTCAAAAACAAGTTGCAAGATTCAAATTAGTTCTAGAAGATGGAGAAGAAGATTCTGGGCTACATCTCAGTATTTTTGAATCTATTAAAGGAAAGGAGCCTAGAAAGGACGAAGGCGTCCTATGTGTAAGATGCAAAAGAGAAGTGAGTGCAAACACAGAGAGACAAGGAATATAGTAACATCACCATCGCCCTGATTTTGTCCCAAATATCCAACCTGTTGGAGGACGAGATACATCATTTTATAGAGGACCGCCTTTTGAGAGGCAGTTCAAGCCAATAAATAATGGGAGGACATTCAGGCAACAACCTCGCCAACCAAATGTATGACATTCATTCCAGTATAATACAGGAAGGGTGATACCTTTCAATGAGATGACTAGAACTCAACAAAGGCGTTTTCAACGGAATTATGGAAGAATGATGTGGCAACAACAAGGATTGCCATGTCCTAAAGCACCTAAACTGATCGAAGTGGCTAATCAAAATGTTCTCGAAGATAATAAAGAGACTGGTATACGCGAATCATTGGAAGAGTTATCAGAAAGTTTTTCTGAGAGATCAAAGTTTGAGCGATGGAAGAAAGATGAGGAAGATCCAGAGTAACCCCTCACTATTCAGTTCGATACATTACTTCTTGTTATGCTAATAATTACGATTATTATATTAAATTAAATATTTAACTCTAATATAATATAATTAACCCACCCCACCCCATCTCCACCACCCCGACTGCTCCGACGACTACTCTGGTGGTCGACGACTACTCCGACGACTGTTTCCCGACCGCACTTAATTGCGGCGACTATTCTGGTGACCGTTCACCGTCGCTTAATTCCAATAACTTCTCCGATTCCGAAGTCACAGATATCTTATTAAGTAGTTAAAAATTTAATTTTCGATCACAACTTATCACATTAATTGGTCACAGATTATTTCGAGGTCACAAATCAAAAAAATTATAGGTCACAGATTTTTAATTGATCACAAGTTAAAAAATTGTAGATAACATAGATCACATATTTCCAAATTTGTTGGTCACAGATTATATTTTGAGTAACAGATTAATGAATTTTAAGGTCACGGGACTATATAGTTGGTCACATACACCCAAACACATGTCCCCCAATCCCAGTACACCACCAATACTTGGTCACAAGTCACAGGTTGAAATAGTTGGTCACATACACCCAAACACCCATCCCCCAATCCCAGTACACCACCATCGCCGCCTATACCACCACACCAAGAAAACCACCGCGGCCGCCTTCAACCCCGCCACATACCCACAACCAGTCTGTTACACACACATACCCTCCGCCAAATCTCTTGCTTCTTCTTACCGCAACCAAACCACTATCCCACCTAACCAATGCCTCATGCAGAACCAGTCTCCAGCCCATACTGCAACAAAACAAACCATAATATGCAAATCATCCGTCGCAATCATCTCCCACCATCAACCATAACTTCGACCCGAACTGCAACACCAAACTACAGCCCAGCAGTCGATAGTGACCCATATCTGATTAGCATCGTGACATTAGGGACAACAACGTTGAGGCGCTATTGCGATTCACAGTAGCCCCTCGACACTGTGAATGGCAGGGAGGAGAGGGAGAAGGGAGGAGAAGGAGGTGGGTAGTGAAGGCGCTGCTACGATTCACAGCAGTACCTCGATGCTGTGAATGCCAAGGAGGATAAGGGAGGGGGAAGGCGAGGTAGAAGAGGCGGCACCTTGCTAATCTTTCAAAGCAGTTGGCCTACCGGGAAATCGAGGTCCTCCAGACGCTGCAAAACTGCCCCCAACGGTGGCAGAGAAGGGAGGAGAATGAGAGGAGGCGGTGGGCGATGGAGACAGGAGGGAAGGGGAGGAAAATGGAGGAGATGAGGGAAAAGGGGAAGAAACGGAAGAGAGATGAGTGGTTGGGAATTGTGATTGAAATTTGGGGAGTAGGGGTGGGTATATAGATTAATTTAATTTAAAATATCATTATTAATAGTAATTGTGAAATTAAAACCTGATTTTTGATTAAATAAAAAACCTGATTTTTAGAAAGATCAAACTAAACAACTGATTTTAGGTAATTTCTTCTTATTTTTATTGTTATTGGACTCTATTATTTGCGTTCTTGATATTATTGAGCTTGTAGTAGCGGGTTGGCCCAAGTCCTTAAAATTAGGTTATTTTCTGCTATTTATTAGGTTTTCATTGTAGTTGATTGCAATGGATAATGGAATAAAATTTTGCTTTGACGATTGCGTTTTCCCTTTCCCTTTCCCCTTTCCTTCTCCCGACTTCGTTTCCCCCTGCCTCTTCTTCCTATTCTGCATCAAAGTGGTATTAGAGCCAAAGGTTAGGAACTACTACACCCATACACCTATTTCTACAACCTAGTTCTATTGCAACTCTCTACCAGTCCCCGCCCAAAACTGCAAACCCGTAAGCTTGAAATATCCCTAACCTGGTCCAACATCTTCCCAGCTGCCAGCCACCAAACCAGTGGACATAAATCCAATAAACCAATCGAGCCTGTTGATTTGATTTCAAAACCAGTTAATTTTCTCACATTGCAACCCACATACCAAAGCTGCTACCACTTGCGTCACCAATAGCCAACCGCCGCCTCTACATTTCCTCACCCATCGGAAACTCCCAAGCTCAAATCATCGATTGCATCTCCAACAAAAAAATAAAAATAAAATAAGAACAATTGCAGTGGAGCGGGCCGCCAGAGGAAGAAAAAGGGCTCGATCCAACCTCCATATTTTTGGGCCTCAATTGTGACTTATGAGTGATTTAATTAGTGTTTTTTTGGGCCTCCAAATTTGGGTCACGTCTTGGGTTTGATCTTGCTTAGTTCATTTGATTTGATAATTGGGCATTAGTTTGGGCTTTGAACCTTTTTTTTTTTTTGTTTAGTTTATTTGATTTAGTAGTTGGGCCTCAATTTGGTCTCACTTTTATTATAAGTGTAATTTATTTTTAGTTTTAAAAAAAGAGTATTTTTGTCAATTGGGCTCAATCTCTAAGTTGGGCCTCGGTTTGTGTCTTAAGTTTAGCTCTTTAGGCCTCGAGTTGGGCCCATATTTTTATTATACTGTGTAATTTATTTTAGTTAAAAAAACATTATTTCCTAATTTTGTAGGTGCATCTCTTACATCTGCTGATTGGCGTAGTTACTTCAGTAAACAAAACTGGAGCTACCGTTTCTTTATACTTGGAGATCAACTACTTGGTGCTCATTTCCGTCGATGAACAACTGGGACACTAATATTCCTTTGTCTTTAGTTTACATTACTGTTTCATTATAAAATTGCATCAATTAAATCTTGTGTTTCTATTAGTTCAATTTTACCTGCAAATTCACGTCACTAAATCCCTAATCGTGTTTTTCACCCACTTTTATCCTTCTCATTTTGAATCTTAATCGTGTTATACTCTCATTTTATCTTTCTTGATTATATTGCTGATTCGTATTTGACATTTGCTTTACTATTTTACATAGATTAGCGATATTAGCTTGCCATATTTGGATCTACATAATTCCAACATAATAATAATAATAATAATAATAACAACAACAACAACAACAACAACAATAATAATAATAATAATAATAATAATAACAATAATAATAAAATTTTTATCAGTTCGTTATTTTCGATTTTAAACAAGCGAGTTGTTTATTGATCTCTCAATACACTTCATTTAGCTGGTAGTGCATTGCATGCAATTGCGTAATGGCTGTCTTGTCACATCTAATTCCAATAACCTCACCATGGACCTATCCGAACTTGATGCCCTCACTCAACAATTAGCACAACTTGTGACTAACCAACAACAGTTACAAGCTCAGTTTACAGCTATCCAAACTGAGATGGCCGCTGCTCGTGAGGAAAATAGAGACTTAGCGGCTAGGTTGTCCACCCTTGAACAAACCCCACATTCGACTGAAGTTGAAAACTCGGACGCGACCAGTCATAGGCATCATCATCGTCCCCAAGGTGTCCGACAACACATTAGGCATAACTGTAGGGAACTCTTACATGCTGATCTACGAAAAAAAATGCCTATCTAATGTCACTCTTTAGATACCTAACAGAAATAAAGAGCTGCAACATTATTTTTGCCAAATTATCAGCTGCAAGACAGGTAGAGTTCACAATCTTGTTAGATAGGGAATTCTATGCAAAGTAATGGAACAGAAAAAAAGTTATAGAGAGCATGCAAATAAGAAGTCATTGTATATATGGAATTCAAGCGGGATGTATCTCGAATTCTGTCAGAATTTATGTTGATAAATTGAAGGCATAAGAAATGTGTGAGAAGAATTAGCAAAAGTTTCAATCACTAAGTTGATATTCGATACAGAATTGGCTTTTAAGAGACTTTCAATGGGAGTTCAAGCTTCAAAAGAGTACTTTCCATTCTAGTGTTTACCAGTCTAGCAGTTGATGAGAAGCGACCATTCAGGACAGAGTATTTAATAGTGGACCATTTAATAGTGGATGAGAAGTTTAGGAAGTGTCAAACCTAGAAGCATCTTAACAATTTGGAAATACCATATTGGAAAACAGGGGATAAACAAGGTATTTGTATATTGCATCCTCTGCAGGGATATTAATAAACCGGGCTTTATTCACTACCAAGTATAGGCAAAGGACAACGTCATGCACTCAACTTTTTGCTTGCTACGTAGCATTTTGCTTGAGAGAAATGGATTATATTTCGATACTGTTAGGGATTTTCTATGAAACAAATATTTATTTATAGAAGGTTTATACAAAATTAAAAAGGACAAGAGATTCTCAATTCCTGAAATAAGAAGTCAAGTTAAAGCTAAACAAGCAAATCCCTCAATCACCTGTGTAAGTGTTATGCCCTAAGTCT